CTTCCTCTGCAGGTGGCGATGCAGTACAACCCTGGCTGGAACAACTCCTCCGTCAACCTGCTTCACGTGCGGGCGGTGGGGCCCAGTGACACCCTGCACTACATCTGGAGCAGTATCGGGGCCCCCGCCGTGCTGCTGGTGGCTACGGAGAGCCGGAGCAGCGCCCTGCGCATCAACTGGACCCAGCTGCTCTCGCCCGCTCCTGCGGGCGCCATCTGGATCGACCCTCCCAGCAGCGTTGTCTACTCCACTGCCGTTGTCTTCACCAAGGTACCACTGAGGAAGGTGGCCCTGCTCCGGGAGAGCTGCCCCATGGTGGAGAGGGCGCGTGGGGTTGCTTGGGGCAGAGCAGGTCGGTCGGCAGCTTTCCCAGCTGCAGCGAAATGGGGCCTTGTGTGTCCTACCCTGGTTATCTCTGGCTTGAGCTGTGATGGTGCCTTGAGATGTTTGGCCAAGGCAGCTCCTTTTTGGTCTCCATCCTCTCCCCGGTGGCAGTGGCAGCCTGGTGCACAGCAGCCCATGGACCACAGCACAAAGCGGTGATGTCCGCAGCACCTGCTGGTGGCTCCAGGCCCCTCTCCTCTTCCTTCCCCCTAGGTGTTTGAGTACAGCGAGGCCGAAACGCTGGAAGAGCTCTTCTACCCCACGTACGACCTGTCTGACTTTTCCTGGGACGGCATCAATCACACCCTCAACCACACGGCCCTGACGGCCGAGTTCACGGGCATCCCGGCCACTGACCCCAGCAGCAGCTTCTCCAACGGCAGCCTGGCATTTCGGGTAAGTCTACAGGGGCAGAGACGAGGTATATACTGCGCTGGGATGCTTCAGGGAGAACACAGTGAATATCATGTCCAAAGCACTTTCTAGAGAGGTGTCCCAAGCAGTGATCGTGCTATCCCTCTGACCCGTGTCCCCTGCAGGTGACAGCCTACGAGGCCAGCGGCCGTGACAGGACCCTGCCCAGCCTCCTGCACACGGCAAACAGCTCTAAAGTGGAGTTTGTCCTGGCTGGGGTGGCTCCGCGGGGCAACAGCTCCCGATTTGCACTGGAGGTGGCCACGGTGGAGGAGATAGGAGTGGCGCAGAAGCTGCGCTCAGCACGCTCCATCGACGATGAGTACACTCCCACCATCTTTGAGGTGAGCGTGGGGTGAGCACTGGGCTCAGGGACGTCCCAGTGCAGGAACAAGGGTGAGGGGGATCTGGGGCAAGCAGCCTGGGCAACCTGTGGCTCCCCACGATGGCTCACCTTGGCTTGAAGACCTGTCCTCACTTCACCACCCGTTGCTCTCCCTCCACCAGATGCTCTCCCTGGTAGCCGAGTCCCAAAATGACAGCTCCATACTCAGCTTCCTGCAGTGGAAGGCGACAGCCTACGGCTCCCAGACCCCCAGGCGCGAGGACAGCATCCAGTGCCGGTCTCACGGTCTGCAAGCAGCCAACTGGACCCTGCCCGTGTCCAGCATCGTCCACGCCTACTTTGGGGAGGGTGTAGGCAGCGCCTACACCATCAGCGCCATCAATATCTCTTTTGGGGGAGAGGATGGAAAGGTTTACCAGGAGAAACGCTACCTTAGCTGGTGAGTGGGGTCCGTTGTGCATGAAATGATGCTCTCCCAGCCACTAATAAGGTGCAGTTTGGGGAACTGCTAGGTTAGAGGGCTTCTCTGTTTAATAACTATCTCCTTTCAAAAGTCTATGTCCTCCTATGATCCTGTAGCAAGGAGTTTTGCAGTTTATTGATGCATCCCCTCACCCCTCCCCCAGTCTGGGAGACCCTCCCCTGCCCCATGTGGGATCCTGCCAAGAAATATTGAGTAGGGAGGTGATCGTGCCCCTGGGCTCGGCCCTGGTGAGGCCCCACCTCGAATCCTGTGTTCAGTTTTGGGCCCCTCACTACAAGAAGGACATTGAGGTGCTGGAGCGTGTCCAGAGAAGGGCAACGAAGCTGGTGAAGGGCCTGGAGCACAAGTCTGATGGGGAGCGGCTGAGGGAACTGGGGCTGTTTAGCCTGGAGAAGAGGAGGCTGAGGGGAGACCTCATCGCGCTCTACAACTACCTGGAAGGAGGTTGTAGCGAGGTGGGGGTCGGTCTCTTCTCCCAAGTAACAGCGATAGGACGAGAGGAAATGGCCTCAAGTTGCACCAGGGGAGGTTTAGACTGGACGTTAGGAAAAACTTCTTCACTGAAAGAGTGGTCAGGCCTTGGAACAGGCTGCCCAGGGAAGTGGTGGAGTCGCCATCCCTGGAAGTATTTAAAAGACGTGTAGATGAGGCGCTTAGGGACGTGGTTTAGTGGGCATGGTGGTGTTGGGTTGACGGTTGGACTTGATGATCTTAGAGGTCTTTTCCAACCTTAATGATTCTGTGATTCTGTGATTCTATGATTCTATTGATCTGATGCTGTCGGTGTAGAAAGCCCCAGATATCCCACCCGTGGGACACAGCTGATCCCCATCTCCATGGCTGATTTGTCTCATCCCCTCCTGCAGGTCGGCGCTGCTGGGCTTCGGGCAGCCCCCCAAGGACACTTTCTCCCCCCTCGTCATCTCCATCATGGCCGTGGCACTGGGCACCCCCATGGCGTTGCTCCTGGTCGGCAGCTGCGTGGTCCTCTTTGCCCAGAGGAAACGCTACTCTGAGTACGAGCCCATCAACTGAGTGGGACAGTACCTAGAGAGACCCCCAGGATCCTTCTTGTCGCCAGGAGACAACCGCGGCTGCTGCAGGGGCTCCGATGCCTGCAATCTCCTCTTTGTCCTCCTCTCCGTCCCTGCAGTCTAGGCTCGGAGGGGACCAGGGCAACGTTTGCAGCAGTTGCCCACATCACGTATCCCTCTGTGCTGCTCCCTCCTACTGCCCAGATCCTGCATCTGATTACACTTCTTCCTCTGTTTTTTCCTGATCCATCCAGCCAAGGGAAGTGACTGGGGGGAGTTGGTCAGTGTTGCCTTAAGCCACGGAAAGATCCTCCTTCTCCCAAGGGATAAAACCACTGTTGTCATGTCTGCAGCCAAGCTGGGACTGGCTGTGCCCTGTCCTGTACCAATTCCAGAGCGCTCCAGGGTTGCTTGGGTGGCTCCAACCCAGGAGCAGAGCTAGAATACGGGGCAGGGGACTGGTACTGCTCCTGCCAGTGTGCAGGGTGCCTTGCTGCTTCTTGCTGTGCTGGGGGCATCCCAAAACAGCCCCCCTCAACCCAGCTGGGGCTCACGGACTCCTCAATCCCCAACAGGCACTTTCTGCTGTGCTGTCCTCGGTGAGTGCTGCTGGTACAAGAGGGAAACCCAGTGCTGTTTTGCAGCAGCTGCTTGAGCTCAGGTATGTCAAGGCTGATCTAGCCTTGCTCTCAGTTAACTGCAGCCATTGGCTCTGCAGGGCTGGCTCAGAGGTGCTGTCCAGGTGCTTGAAGCCATGGGGCAGGCGTGGTCTGTGGCTGTTCAGTGTTTGCAGAGGTACCACATCACTTGGGGGTGTGCTGTGTTTTCATGTTCTCCATCACTGACTTGTCTTTAACCAAATAAAGTGGATTTCTAAGAGCAGTTTCCTGTGGAAACACTGCACGTGGGTGAGCGCGAGGAGAGCAGCTCTCGAGCCTCGCAGGAATTGAAGGGTGCTGGAACTCATCAGGAGCCAAGGTACAAAAACATACCTCTGAGAGGAGGGAGGCTCCGTGCCCCTGGATTGACTGATGCCCCGCAGCAGCCTGAAGTGCTCTAGGGCGGTTTTGCGTATGAGCCGTGGGGTCAGCGTGAGCCCAGGCCGTGGGCCATCTCCCTGCTGAGAAGTGCATTTGAAAGAGTCAGACTGTTCCCATTCTCTGACTCGACTGGGCTGCAGTGGGTGAACTGCTCCCATGACACAGATTCAGGGGTGGGAGGTGGGACAAGCCAAACACTTGGCAGATCTAGGGATGGAGGGTCTTTCCCTTTCTTTGGTGGATTTTTAACTGTTTTGGGTTATGCCTGAGAATCGGAGAACTGAGACAATCAGACTTGCATGGGGCTGGATTCCCAGGGGTCCCTTTGTGTCTGCAAAGGACTCTGAGGTGGGGCCTCTTGCCCTGAGGGGTGCAGGCTGGGTCCTGGGGGGGATCGGCCATCCCCAGCCCTAGGCAGCAGCAAGCCTGGTGCCATCTCACCCATCCCGGCTTCTCCCTGCACCCCTCCTTACAGCAGGGCTCCCTCCCTCCTACCCGGCCAACTGGTTTGTGAACCAGGTGCTGAACCTCCGCCAGGAGGAAGAGGAGGAGGAGGAAGGACAGGCTGGGTGGGACTGGCCACCCCGCAGGGCAGGGAGCCAGGTGCAGGATGCAGGGCTGGGGTGATTTGCAGCACTGGGAGATGGACAGTTTGGGGAAGCATCATTTTTTCCCCTCTTAGAAACATCATTTTGGGGCTGCATGATGCCATCCCATCGACGAAGCTACGAGTACTGGCAGCAGTGATTTCCCAGGGGAATTTAACCCACCCTCCCCAAAACAGCCACAGAGCTATTTGGTGAAGGGCTTTATTGGGCAAAGCCAGCTCCAGCAGGAGGTTAGGTAAATCCCACCCCAACCCATCCTCATGGAACAGGGCTCACTGGGTCTTGCTCTGGGCCCTGTTTGCCCTCCTGCAGGGAACTCCCAGTGCAGAGGGTTTTACAGCTTAGCTCTGTCAACCCCAGGCACCCAGCAAAACCAGATCTTCCTGCACCCTTCCATCTTCAGGGCTCAAAAGGCAGGGCAGTGGGGAGGGCTCAACCCCTCTGCACCATGGGGTCCAGTCACCCCATCTGCCCGGGGCCTCCCTCACCCCCAGTACCGGAGTTTGGCTCCACTGTCCTTGGAGCGGTCCTCGGTCTTTGGCGTTGCCACAGCAAGGAGATTTTCAGGCTCCAGGACGAACATGTTGTAAAGGTTCCAGAGTAGCATGGCCAGGAGGGGCAAGAAGGTCATGCTGAAGCCGAAGGCACGGAAGGAGCGCCCGATATGGCGTACCCCAGCCAGTAAATCAACCTGGAGAGGGCAGAGAGGTGCGGGCTCAGCAAGGGCGATGCCTTGGGGCCGACACCCAGCTTCGCTCAGGGGTTCTGACCCCAGCGAGGGTTTACCAGGCACGGCTGCTGTGGGAAGTGGGATGAGGGATGGAGCAGCCCTTCCCCTGTGTTGGCTTTCCTGGCCAGGTGAGGCACGGCCGGAGCGGGAGTTTGCACCAAGGCATGGTGGCAGAGAGGTGCGGGCTCAGCAAGGGCGATGCCTTGGGGCCGACACCCAGCTTCGCTCAGGGGTTCTGACCCCAGCGAGGGTTTACCAGGCACGGCTGCTGTGGGAAGTGGGATGAGGGATGGAGCAGCCCTTCCCCTGTGTTGGCTTTCCTGGCCAGGTGAGGCACGGCCGGAGCGGGAGTTTGCACCAAGGCATGGTGTTTGCCAGCACCGACAGACCCCGTTTGCACCCTGGGCAGTGCCGCAGCCCAGGTAGGGTAAAGGAGCCACTTACCGGGAGATGGCAAAAAGCCCCGTGAGCAGGGGGATGAGCTTGAGGACCTCCTGCGGGAGGTAGGTGGCCAGCACAGCCATGTTGAAGAAGTAGAGGATGAAGAGATGGATGGACTGGGAGACGTAGGTGCGGTGGATCTCCACCTCCCGCTGCAGCTCCCCGAAGGGCTCCAGTGCAGAGGAGCAAAGGCGGGAGATGCCGCTGACGATCATCCCTGGGGGGCAGAGAGAGGGGCTGAGCAGGCACCCAGTGAAACTGCATTGGGGCCCGAGGGCTAGGGGAGGATCAGAGAGAGATGCGACGGGGCGGGAAGAGGGTAGGAAAATTCAGTCTGCTGCTCCTGGTGGGAGCAATGGAGCTGCAAAGAGCTCAGCCCCGGCTCTGCTCCCCGCTCCCCACAGCCCCCGCTC